AGGAGGGGGGGGGAGGAGGAGCAGGAGGAGGAGAAGGAGGAGGAGGAAGAGGACAAGGAGGGGGAGGAAGAGGAGGAGAAGGCCGGGAAGGGAAGGGGGATAAGGAGGAGGAGAAGGCGGGGGAGGAGGAGGAGGAGGAGGAGGAGGAGGAGGAGGAGGAGGAGGAGGAGAGGGACGAGGGGGGAGGAGGAGGATAACAGGAGAAGGACAAGAAGGAGGAGGAGAAGAAGGCGGGGAAGGGAAGGGAAGAAGGACGTGGACGAGGAGGAGGAGGAGGAAGGGCAGGAGAAGGAAGAGGAGGAGAGGCAGGAAGAGGAGCAGGAGGGAGGAGCAGGGGGAGGAGGAGAGGAGGAGAGGGAGCCGATCATCGTCATCAGTGTCGTGATCATCAACGACGTCATTGCCATCGACAAGGTCAGCCCAAACATCTCCGAACATTAACAATTAGCGGGACATCCCGCTTGGAAACCGCCGACAACCGTAAGATGTCTCCGGGGTGTAACATACTTCCCTGGCTCCGGCACCCGTGCAAGGCCCCAAACACAACCCAAAAAACCTCCCTGTGCCGTCTTGGGGTTCGCTTGGGCCGTCTGGAAGCCCTCTGGGCCAGTTTGCGACCCATGTCGGCTCCCCTTCTCGCTGTGACGGGCCCTGAACAACCTCATTTTCCCACGGTTTGCAAGGAAGCTGTGGTGAACGATCCCGGGGAAAATCCAAGGGGTCGGCGGATGTGGCGGAAGCCTGAAGAATCATGGGAGGCATCGTGGCTCCAGACACGGTACCCCCTGGGTCGCGTTTTCTCAATGCGCTGCCCGCGAAAATCCGCTGTCGCTCCAGATCCAGTTATGATGGGCCCGGGGGGGCCCGATGAAGGGCCCGCGGAGGCCGGCCGGGAGGAAAAACGCCCAGATGGAAAAGCAAGCGCGTCGTCGGAGATCTGGATCCCCCTTCGGTTGGGGTGTTCAATGTTGGAGGTCTGGAAATGGGCACCAATACCAACACAGGGGGTTGCCTTCACAGGGGGAAGATGATCCTCGATTGCGGTGTTGATGGTAATCTTTCGGCCACCTTGGAAGCCAAAATGTTACCACCATCACCGAGATCGAGATCTTCTTCCCTCGGTGGAGGCACACCGCCGAAATTGGTGTTGGTGTCCACATCCAGGCCTGCGACAATGGGTGGTGAAATGAAATAATAATCAGTGGTGGAGGACATACGGTGTACCTCAAACTCGTGGCGGCAGGCATCTGCTGTCCACCCTCGGGTTGTGAAGGGCCTATCTGCTGCAGTGCCCACCCCGTCCCGTTCGCAGGGACTTCGCCCTATGGTGGGAAGGTGGGTGGACGGGACGTCCCCCTTCTCTTGGCCCCTGGCTCGGGGGCAGCCAAGAGGGGGGCGTTTAAGAGGGGGGGGTGCAAATCATGACTGGCGGCATGTGCGCGGCCCAGCGGGGGGGGGGGGCTGGGGACGTAATGAAATAAGATGAGGCGCCATGAAATCTGGGGAAATATCATTGCCTACGCCATCATATCCACCCCCCCTAGTCATCACCCCCCTCTTTGCCGACCCCGACTGGCGCGCGGCCCCGGCTTTTTCTCCAGCCCGGGCCCATCGATGCCCGCGTGTCCGCGGCCTGGGCCGGCGCGCGGACGCTTACCGCGGCGGTTCGGCCGGTGCTCTCTCTCTCGCCCAGCGGGGCGCGCAGGACTCCCCGGGAGCCACTCGCGACGAGGAACAAGTCCTAGGTCTCAGCTGGGTCTGCGTACGTACAACTTCACTCCGCGGGAAATGCGAGGATCCCGCTCAACGGCCCTTCGGCCCCGAGCACGTCGTCGACGCAGGGCCTGCTGGCCGTGCCGGCAGCGCTGGCGGAGGAGCGGCCGGGAACCAGCCCTGTGGGCAGGGCCGGGGCGTCTGCAGGACCCCGCATCTTGCCATCGCTCGGACGTCCATCCCCCGTGCACTCTTCAGCTGTGCGCGCTGATGTTTCGCAAGATGACTCAGGATGCTCCTCGATGGCCCTCGGATGCTCCTCGACGAACCAGGAAACTGGCCCTGTGGACAGGGCCGGGGCTTCTGCAGGACCCCGTACAGTCGCCCCGTAGCAGAAGGATGCGCGGTAAGGATGCAAGGGCCTTGGGCGCCCATTCCGAAACTCTTCCAGCGGGGCGCGGCCAACGAAAGTGGCCAAGGATGGACCGAGGAGGCACGGATGCAAGGGTGCCCTCGGAAACATTGCCCATCCTTATCATGCAGGTTGACTGTATCTTGCCATCGCTCGGACGTCCATTCCCCGTGCACGTGTCAGCTCCGTGCACTTATGCTTCCTTCTCGCAAGAGGATCCAGGATGCTCCCCGATGGTCCTCGCCGAGAGAAAGATGCACGCGTCCGAGCGATGCCAGGGTGCTGGGAAAAAGTCCAGACGTCGACTGTCTAGGGCGCCTGTGTGCGCCTGTGGCTTGCCCGACAAAGGCGATGGGGGGGAAGAGCCAGGAGGAGGGGGAGGAGGGGGAGGGTGAGGAGGGTGAGGAGGAGGGGGATGCTGATGATGATGATGATGATGATGATGATGTTGATGAGGAGGAGGAGGAGGAGGAGGAGGAGGAGGATGGGGATGGTGATGATGATGAGGAGGAGGGGGAGGAGGAGGAGGAGGAGGAGTAGGAGGAGGAGGATGCGAAGGAGGAGGGAAGAGGAGGAAGAGGAGAAGGAGGAGAAGGAGGACCTAGGTCAGAAGAACATCCTTCAATAACACGAGGCCCTCCGTAGGCCAGGCTCAAGGACGTTCGAGGGCACCTGTTCCCTGGATGCACCAGAACATCCAACAACGCCAGGTTGGCCTGCTGTAACCGACCTCGATCTTATACCTCGGTCCGGCTGCAGGACAGCCAACGGCTTAGACATTAACTTGAAGTCCGCGCGGATTTCCTTGCATCGGCGCCGGGCCGCCGGAGGCGCCGCCGCCGCCCCTGGTGCGCCCCGCGCGCCATGGAGGCGGGTCCAGCGCCGCTCCAAGAGATCCGCGCGGGCATCCAACTTGTCATGCTCATGCTGTTTATGCTTCGTTCTGATGAGGCAGGAAAAAGGGGGAACTCATCCAGATCCGGCTGGATGTCAACGGGGGGGGCAACACACAATTTTGATCTGTGGGGCGAGAGCGAACCTCTTCCGCTAAAAGCAAGGCGGGCTACGCACAGCTTTAATTAGGGAGACAGGGCACAGGAAGGCGGGGCCTCAGGCGGCCGGAGCGGGCGGGGCCCGGGGGGGCAGCACACGGGGGGGGGGCGACCGGGGGTTGCAGGAACGCTGCCCCCAAGTGACCCTGAGAGTGCCTCTAAGGCGCGCCTCTCTTTACGCCCCCGTCAACGTCCCCCCGTTGCCATGCACCCGTCCAGAGCTCCGAGGGATTGCTTTTCTTCACCCTGGCGTGTTCTCCAAGGGCACGGGGGTTAGGTCGGGCCCGTCCCCCTGCAGGGGGATTTCGGGGGGCAGGGGGACTTCGGGGGAAAATTTAAAGATAGTAAAAGAAAACTCCCCAAATGCTCGGAAATACAAACAGGTCCCCAGTCAATCTTTCGTGACTATTCTTGAATGTTCCCCCTGCAGAGGGACAGGCCCGACTTCACCCGAGGGCCATCGAGGACAGTTCGAGGGCGGAAGGCTGTCTCCCCGCGGCAGTGGGGTCGGGCGCCACGGGGCCGCGGATGGAGACAGCCTCGAGGCCAGGTGTCTGCGGGCCGGGGCTCCGCCGGAGGGGGGGGGGGAAATCGAGAATGCGCTGCGTCAGGGTCCCTGGGCAGGCTGGGGAGTGCGGCCAGGGAAACGAGGGAGGGGAAGAAGGGGGGGAGGGGGGGGGCGAGGGGAGGAGGAGACGGCCACACCGGGAGGGAAGGGGGAGGACGAAGAGCGGGGGAGGGGGGGCCTGCATGTGGCGAGACCCACAGACCATGAACGCACACACGTTGCCATCTTCTGGGGGCACATCCCTTATATTGCATCCTCGAGGAACCTTGTCTGTACCGTCGCGGCCTTATCCGCGCCGAATCCGTGTCGAATCCACGTCGGACTCGTCGGATCTGTATCGAATCCGTATCGAATCCGTGCCGAATCCGCGTCGAATCCACGCCAAATCCGCGTCGAGTCCGCATCGAGCCCGTGTCGGGTACAAGAAAAGACGCGAATGTTGGGGACAGACCAGGTCCCCCGAAGATGCAACGCAAAATGTAGACTTCCATTGGGTAAGGCCTGCGAAGGCCGCCTGTGTGAAAATTCACTACCAGGCGCCTCCATGGGAACCCGCGGCCCCTCCCCGTCCCCCAGGCCCCCCCCCCCTCCGGCGGGGCGGCCGAGCGGGAAAACAACAGGGAACGAGAAGAAAACCAAAGGCCCCCCGAAGATGCAACTCGGCGGTGGACAAACCTCCCTTTAGTAAACCACCCTTTAGTGAAAGCGGCCGAGGACCGAAACCGACCGACCTGGACCCGCAACAAATAACGGCCGCGACGCCCTGTCGCGAACCGAAAACGGCCAATTCGCTACTCGACGTGTCAGGGTAGGAGGTCGATCAACCTCCGAGCAACGCAGCACCCCGCCAGCTTCCGCCCACGGAGCCGCCCCCCGGTTTCTCGCCGCCGGCGGTGCAGCCGCCCGTTTACTTCCGCCAGCCTTCCGCGGGCCTTCCGCGAGCGGGGCCCCGCCATCGCACGCGCCCTGCACGCGCGCGCCCCTCCTCCCTCATCCCTCCCCTCCTCCCTCCTCCCTCCTCCCTCCATCCCTCCCTCCCTCCTTCCATCCACCCTCCTCCCTCCTCCCTCTTCCTCCTCCTCCTCCTCCTCCTCCTCCTCCTCCTCGTCCTCCGACGACGACGGGGGTACAGACCTTCAGAGCAGCACTACTTCCATTATCTCAACATTCTCGAGTATCCCGAAAATAGTCGGACGCTTCCCATCATCAACCCAAGACCTCGAACATGTCTGTGCCCTCGTCGCCGTCACCAGCAGGGCAGGAGGGCAGGGAAGAGGAGGGCGCGCCGAAACTAGCCTAACAATTTCTGAATCTGCTCCGGGCCCATTTTCTGGAGCTGCTTGCGGGCGTTCTTGTGCCACTTCCTGATCTTATCCGTGTTCTTGATGACCTGATATTGGCCAGCCTTCACCTCGTTTTCCTCCTTCCTCCTCTTTTTCTCTTCGCGCTTTTTCGCCCTGGAGACAACTTCCCTTGTTCGCGACCAAAGGATAAGAATATGAAATGACACGCCGATGCGAACAAGAAGACCACGACACACAAGAGCGGAGGATCGCTCAGCCCAGGACCAGACGTATGCGTGTGCACCTTCTGGTGATCCTGAAATCACGCACTTATCTGGATTCGAACGCGAAACCTGAGACGTGCGTACGCATGTCATCTGAGCATGAGTCGCGGATCAGTCTCGATCGGAGCGACACTCGAGTGAAACCTCCAGGTTGGCTCACATGTGGTCGTCGCAGGCAGGATCCGCGTGAAGGGAAGCACTAGCCACGAGGAGGGCGAATATCCCCAGAGACACTGAAGGCCGTGCAGCCAACGCAGAGAACAAGTACCACCCTCCACTGGTTAAGAGCGTACAAATAAAAACGGCAATATGCATCCCTGGACCAGAGCTCAGCTCCGCCCGAATTTCGTCAAAAAGCATTCCAACAAAAATCTTGTCTTGCAGCTGGACTGGACTGTAATGGAGAGACAGAACGTGACGATACTGCTACTCCACGACCTCTTCCAAGGAACGTTCTGACCAGACTTCCGCAAATAATCCAGCCGTGCTGACGAGGGATGCATAGCGGAGTCTGTACCTGTTCCTCCTCGGAGGACTGGACTGTAAGCAGGCTGTGCGAAAGTCTTCAGGAAAAAGCGCGTCCTGACTTTCCTCACTTCTTTCTTGGCTTGCAGCAGCTCCGCGGCTTTTATCCTGGTCTCCTCAAGCGCGCGCTTCTCCTTCTGCCTCGGTGGGGCGCGGCTCCTGCTCTTCCGCAAACTCTTGGGGATCCCAAAACCGTGTGGTGACAGACCGTGCGGTGACCTCGAAACCCCAAGAGAACTCACCGCACGGTCTGTCACTACACGGTCTTGGGATCCAGGAGGCCCCTGTCGCCCGAGATGTCCTCGGAGAAGGACTCGAGTCTCAAAAAACCGTGCGGTGACCCCCAATCCCCACTGACTCACCACACCCGCAGAGTCTGGGGGCCTCCGAAACTCCTTCCCCCTTGAAGGAAAACTCCGGATACACCAGTAGGCCCGGTGCAGCATCCGCAAGCCCTACTCCTCCTCAAACTCATCCCCCCCGCTTGGGAGGCTCCAGAGGTCCCTCGTCCAAGAGCCCTCGCTACCACAAGAAACGCAGAAAGACCTCGGTCCTCGATCTTGGAGGAAACATCTCGAAACACCGTCGGCCTCGGAAGAGAAAAAGAGGGAGGGTTGGGGATGGACTCCGACGACTCGATCTTTTCGAGTCGTCGGAGTCCCGAGCCTCTCGATCCTTCCCCCTGGGACCGGTTTTTCGTCCAGAGTCGTCGCTTTGACCTGCAGAACAACCCTCTGGAGGCCGAACATGCGGAAATGCCTGAAGCTCGATGTGCGCGAGTCTCTAGAGATCTGGGGACGTGGACGACGCCGCGCGTGTATGTGAAGGGGGCCAGGGACACACAAATCCTAGGATTCCCAAATGTTTCCCACGTTTTCTGGGCTTTCGTCTTCCCCCCCACTTTGGAAGAGGCGATTGGGGGGCAGGGGGGGGGATCTGGATCTGTAGCCCGTGGAGGGGGCGAGGCAGCGCAGAAAGAGAAGGCGACGGGAGGAGGCGGGCCGGGCGGAGGGAAGATCCGCGGACCCCGCTTTGCCGGGAGGTGACGAGTCGGGGGTCGACTGCAGAACTGACGCACCCCAGACCTTAATGGGCCCCGGAAAGGGCAGGGCCGTTTTTCCACCGTTTCCAAAAAATGGCCCTTGGAGATGGAAACGGCAACAAAAAGGCGACCGGAAACGGCAAAAAAACGGCTCCAGGATCGGAACCGGAGCCGGAACCGGTCAAAAAACGGCGACGGAACCGGTAAAAAAACGGCCACGGAACCAGCAACAAAAACGGCAAAACGGAACCGGTAAAAAAACGGCCCTGTCGTTTCCAGGGCCCACTAAGCCTGGGGAGTGTGGAAGAGGCGATTGGGGGGCAGGGGGGGGGGGATCTGGATCTGTAGCCTGTGGAAGGGGCGAGGCAGCGGAGAAGGAAAAGGCGAGGGGCGAGGCGGGCCTGGCGGAGGGCGGATGCGCCGACCCCCGCTTGCCGGGAGGTGACGAGTCGGGGGTCGACTGCAGAACTGACTGCCCCCAGACGTGCTCTGCTCGTCGCGCCCATGCAAGCTGCGACGCCTGTCCCGCAGATCCGACGAGGGAGTCAGTCTCGGGGCACATGACTTCTGCAGCCGATCCCCTACCCCAACCCCGTTCCGTCCCGCTCGAGGGGGGGCGGGCGGCACGAGCGCCCCAGGCACACCTCCCGGGAACCTCCTGGTGCCCACGGAAGACCTCCCCGGGTCCATGGCCGCCCCCCACCCCCCCCGAGGAAGAATCCGAGAGCGCCCAAGGACGTGCCGAGGGGCACGGGGGCAGCACTCGGGGGCTCCGAGACGGCCTGCGATGGCTTTCAGGCGGCCCGAAGCGCCACCAAAAGCCCCAAAGCTAGCTCCAAGATGGCCCCAACCTATCCTCGAGAAGCTCAGAGCCTTGATACCCACGCTCGTCAGGCAGCTTCTGACCCACCAGGAGGCCAGCTAAATATGTACCTACGCTGTGAACGGGGCTTTTTTTTGTGTCCGGAGGGCCGTGTCCGCGAATGAGCTGGTGGCCCGAATGTCGGTGCACTGTTACCCCTTGACACGTTTCTGTATCTGCTGTGTGTGTCTCGGCACCAGAGCCTGATGAGCACATGCAGTCATCCGTTGGCGTGAAGCTTGAAACCGCCAAGGAAGCGAGGCTACAGACAGTCTTACCCAGAGTGCTACCGAACTCACAAAAAATCATTGCTGCGCATGAGCGTTGCAACATTTCCTGGTTGCGGGTGCACTCATGCGCCTTGACATGTTTCGCGGAGGTTACCACACTCGCCTTCTTTGTCGGCTCAAGATCGCCCCAAGGCAGCTCCACGACACTCTCGAGAGGGCGCCAGGATGGCCAAAAGGGGTCTCGAACTGCCACTTAGGCGTCCAAGACGCCCCGAGAAACTCCGAAGAGAGCTCGAAGAGGGCTTCGAGAGAAGACCAAGAAGGGGGAAGGGAGATGTACGCCCTCCTGGGCGCACCTCCTTGGGCCTCCTCGGGGCCCCAGAATCCAAAGAACACCCCAAGACATGCCCAAAGGGCCTTGAGACCGCGGAAGCATCTGCCAAAAAGAACCTCGGCCAAACGGCGCGTGGAACAAGACCCCGCCGGCCACCCCCCCCAAAAAGAGGAGGCAGAACGCCGACAGCTGCAAACCTAACCGCACCCAGAATTCACACGCTCCCGTCAGATCTGGCACACGATGCCGCTGTGCAGAGCCCCCAGGGCGCAGGAGGATGGCAACAGTTGCGCACGTGGCAGCCCTCACCTACGAGGAGCATGTGCTCAGTGCTGCGTGCAGCGGGCTCCGCAGCGCTCCGTCATCCAAACACGCCCAACTCGCCACCGTGTATCTGCCGTGTCTGCACAGCGCTGTATGCCCACGCCAGAATAACGACTTCAGCGAGGCCGCGCCGACGGCGCGCTACCCGAATTCCCGCGCCGTTTGAAGCGACAAGGCGGTCAGCCGAGGCGCGAGTGCCCGCGGCGCCTCGCAAGAGGAATAACAACAACAAGAGGAGGAGGAGGAGGAGGAGGAGGAGGAGGAGGAGGGAGCAGGGAGGGAGGAGCAGGAGGAGGAGGGACCTCTTCTCTCGAAGAAGGCAAGGAGGACAAGGGGGCGGCTTCGGAGAGAGAGCAACAATAGCAGAGATGAGAAACGACGAATCCACATTTCGCGTCCCCCACGACTGGCCTCGTCTCGTAGGAGACCTGGGGGCCGTGCTTTTGATGACAATCGGTCCTCTGGAGCCTGCGAGACAAACGATGCGGGTAACAAACAGTCCCAATCCGCCGTGTAGCGGCATGTGTCGCGCGCCACAGCCCTCATCACTCCCGCTCCAGCATTGCAGCCCAAGTCCCACAAACATCTCTCACTGTATACTTCGGCACCGCCGTCCTCATTCTCCTAATGCTGCTTCTCTGAACCCCCTCTCGTCTCCGTCCCGCCCCTTTCCTCCTCCTCCTCCTCGTCCTCCTCCTCCTCCTCCTTCTCCTCCCCCCCTCTCCTCCTCCTCCTCCTCCTCCTCCTCCTCCTCCTCCGCCTCCTCCTCCTCCTCCTCCTCCTCCCCCATCTCCTCCTCCTCCGTCTCCTCCCCCTCCTCAGCCCAATAAGAACCTCAACTGGTGGGGATTCGGATCACGGATACCAATCCGAATCAAGATCCGGGTCCGGATCCTCTTCTCGATCCCGATCTGGATCTGGAACGGGAGTCTCTTCTCGAGCGGCGGGTGAAAAGGCATCCGAATCCGGATCCGGGTCTGGATCGCGTTTCGTCGGAGATGATTCGGATCACGGATCCCAATCTGGATACGGATCCGGATCCTCTTCTCGAGCGCACGGGTGGGGGGAGCATCCGAATTCGGATCCGGATCCATGGGGGGGCAGCATCCAAATCCCGATCTGGATGCAGAGCTGCGCTTCGTCGGGAATTGGAGATACGGATCCCGGATCCCAATCTGCATGGATCCAGATCCGGATCCTCTTGGGGGCATCCGAATCCGGATCGGGTTCTAGAGCTGGGCCGAATCAGGAGGGCACTTCGTCGGGGATGGAGAATTCGGAGCACGGGTCCCAATGCAGATCTGGATTGGGATCGGGATCTGGGACACACAAATAAAGAGACACAAATAACAGGATTCCCTATATTTTACAATATTTTCTAGGTTCTTGTCTTCCCCCCAACTTCCCAGAATTTCCCATATTTTCCTGAGAGTCGACGATTAATTCTGTCTGATCTGGATTCGGAACCCGATCCTCTTCTCGAAGCGCCTGCATTGGGGGAGGAGCCATCCGAATCTGGACCGGATCCGGATCTGGAGCCGGACCGGATCCAGAATGCGCTTCCCGGCGAAACGCATTCGGCACCTATACAAACGATCCCCATGCAAACCCATAACATCGATCCCCTCCGAGATACCCGAGTTGTCCCCTGAGCCCCCCCAGGGGTCTGCAATTGCGCCACAACGGCATTGTTCCCCCCCCCGCCCCCTGGGAGGGATAAATTCTGCGAACCTCGACGACCGCCCCCCGGCGGTGACCCACAACGCGCGTTGGGGCTCGCATCGCTGAAGTTTCGCTTCTCCCGGAATTCGCTTCGCCTGGTTTCGCTTCGCCGCAGGGTTTCACTTCGCGGGTGTTTCGCTTCGCTTGATTTTCGCTTCGCGGGGTTCGCTTCGGTTCGCTTTACCGGGATTCGCTTTGCTGGGGTTTTCGTCGGCAGGGTTGAACTCGCTTCGAATCCAGCCTGCGGCTGCCTGGAATTCACATTCTATGGCGAGGCCTGCTACCCTACGAAGAACCGCGTTGAGCCTCCTACTTGAGAGAACTTCCCGCGGCTTGGACTGAGCCGGCGACCTGGGAACCAGAGATACTCAGGAAGCGGGTCCGATGAAGCCAATTTGAGCGCGCACACAACCTGAGGTAATTGAAATAAGCTCGCAACTCTAAGACACCGTACTACCTTCCACTTCCAACGAAGAGTGTTGATCGGCTGGCGCGGACACGCGTGCGCGCGGTAAAACGGACCCAGGCTCAGCCTGACGTCAGCCCCCTGGGGCATCGCAATTCCCGACACAAACAACTCGCAGACGGGAGCACGCTCCCGCCCCCGCCACTCCGGCAGCGGGGGCGAGGCTTCAGGCCCGGGAGACGCGCTCGGCAGGCGCGCCATCTTCAGGACAGCTGCCGCCCTCTTGACGTGTGCCGCATCGCAAAAACCTCGAGCGCGAAAACTACCCGTACCCTTGCCCAGGCGGGGTGGCAAAGGGGCGGGGGGAGAGTCGGTCTTTTTGTTATACAATGAAGGTGCCCTGGGACACACAAATACACATACAAAGAATATTTTCTGGTCTTCTGTCTTCCCCCACAACTTCCCATATGTTCCCATATTTTCTGGGGCATCGACAACTCATTGTGCCTGTGTGTTTTTGCTCCCTCTCCTGAATAGGGAGCGCCTCGGAGATCTCGGCCGGCCAGGGCGCGCCCTGCAGCGGCCGGGCGACGAGGCGGGGGCGCGCGTCGGCTTCGACGAGCAGCGCGAGCCGCCCACGCTCGAGGCGGTCGGACAGGGCGCTCCCGGGCCGCTCCGCACGCCGCAGCCGCGGTGCGGTGCGCGGCGAGGCTGCGCGACCTCTCCTCCTCGGCCTGCGCGAGGGGGGCGCGGGCGGGCTGGACCGTCGACCTGGCCGGGCCGAGCGCCAAGGAGGCCCCCCCGCGGGCGCGCCCTTTGGAGGCAGCGCCTCCGGTGGAGCACCGGCCGGGCCCCGGCCTGGGAGGCGCGGTCGATGCTGGCCTTCTCGTCTGGTGCGATGGCGACGTCGACGCCTCCGCGCGCGCGCCGGGAACCGCAGCGCACGTGCAGCCCAGACTTGGGCGCGCAACCCAAAGGCCAAAATGATTGCACGGAGCGGCAGCAAGTAGCCTGGCTGGCGCGCGCGAAGCGCGGGCACAGATCCACGGCTCTTCCCAGAGCTCGGCGCCGGCCGTCGTCAGAGGCAGCGGAATCCTGGACGAGGCCGCTCAGCAGCCGCGGCCCTTTCCCCAGCCTCCCGAGGCAACCGATGACCGAGCCGACGCAGTGGGTGCAACTTCCGAAGCAGCCGCAAAGGATAATCCTATAGGCCGCTGTGCCTGGCGGCCCAGCGGGCCAGCAGAGCACGGTCCAAGTCGCCGGGGCATGCGTATTCTTCGTCCACGGGCAGTGCGCGGCGGATCGAGCATCGGCCGACTCCTCCGCAAGGCGCGGACCCACATGCCTCCAAGTCCGGCGATGGAAAGCCGCTCGGGCCCCTAAATGATTCAAGAAGTAGGCCTTGGGGGTCGCGTTGCGGATGCCACGACAATGGACACCCTAACAGTCCGATCGTTGCATTTTAGGTGTGTTGAAAATGTGTAAAACATGTTCTAAAACAAACGATGTGAACATATTTTTACATATGTTTAAACATTGTTCGAAGACTTGTTTGGAAATCTGGCAACTATTTGGCAGCATGCTTCCTCTCCAGTGATCGCCCTCCACCAGTGCAGCGCGGCTCGATGGTGCGCGGCGGGCACCTGGCGGTCGCGCCACCGGCCCCGCATGCGGCCTACGCGAGACCGGCCCCAGAGAGGCTCGGGTGGGCGCCCGCGCAGGCCCCGCCGCCCTGCTCCGAGGCGTCGGGGCAGATCGGCCCCGGGTCAATCGGCGCCCCGAGGTGCGTCACGAACGCGACGCGAGTGGGATCCGGCCCCTGCACGCCGAGTTCGCCGTCCCAGAGGGCGCCATGTGAGCTAGCGACGGCCTCGGACTCGACCTCCCTGCCATCGGCCCGAAGGGCCCCGTGATGTTCCCAAGCTCGTCGCACTGATAGTCGCCCCTCGCTCGGTCTGCCTCTGACCTCGAAGTGCGCCCTGGCAGGGCCCGTGGCACACTGCCCCAGCTGTCCAAATACACGGCACCAAAAGCGTATGAAAGGGGCCCAGGGACACACAAATAAATACACAAAGGTAACAAGATCCCCCCCGCATTTCCCAATATTTCCTGAAGTTTTGCCTTCCCCCCCACTTCCCATATGTTCCCTATATTTCCCGGGGGGTCACCGATTGATTGTGTCTGTGTTTTTTCCCGTCCTGAGCGTAGACGCTGCAGACGGCGCGCTGGAAGCGGATCGGAACCCCGGCGCTCCGGCAACGCAAGGTTCGCACCTGTCGGCGGCGCCGCCCCTGTCGCGAGCCAACGTGCCGCCTGCGTCGCCCGAGCCGCCGACAGCCAGCCCGCGGGGCTGACCGTCGCGCGTGCGCATGTGGGCTCATCCGGATCTACGCCGACGCAGTGGGCAGGGACTTGTTCCTCGAACGCGAAGAAGCTGAGGTGGCAAGGTGGAGCCGAGAGCACATGGAAGGGGCCCTTCTGGTCGTCTGACGAGACCCACAGGGTCTCGCCATCGAATAGAACCACTGATGCCCATTGTCCCGCCGTCGGTAGGTGAGAAACCTCGCCGAAATGCCCGATCATGTAGTTGCTCGAACAAAGACGAAATGTGGTCCTGGCCCGCGCGCGGCGGGCGTGACCTCAGAGCGTGCCGCGCAGCCGAGATTTCTGGATCCGCGGAACAGGACTTCGAAAAGCGCCCGCGGGGCGCCTCGATCGATGGCCCGCAATCGCGAGCCAGCCGCCTGGCACGACTGCTCTGCGCCCATGCGTCGCGCACCGCGGGCATCGAAACTAACCCAAGCAGCCCTGATTCCTGCCCGGCCCCGCGCGCCTCCACGGGGACTTCGCCTTGCTCCTCGCCCGGGCCTGCGCCTTCGAGGTGGCGCCCGGGGCCGCGGCGCTGCCTACATAATTCGGCGACCGCCCCCTGCTCCCGCGCGCCGGGCGCTCGGGCCAGGAGCGCCAGAGCTCCCGGAGGGGGGGGCTTGGAGCGCCCGTGGCGGCCGCTCCCTCCGACGCAGCGCCGGGGGGAAGCGCGGGCCTCGAAGCCCCCCGGCCCAGGAGGCGTCGCAGCGGCAGGGGCGGATGCCGTGGAGGGCGGCTTGGATCGGCCAGCGCCCCTCGCGAGGTCCCCCCCCGCCTGCTCCAGGCGGTGCGCCGATGACTGCCTCGCTCCTCGGGGTGAGCTGGGACTTCCCTGGTCGGGGCGAGCGCGAGCCAGCGCGCCACCGAGCAGTTGTCGTCGGCCAGGTTGCGCTCCAGGGCCTCCGCCCATTGCGCGACGCCCGTGGGCGACCCCAGCTCCCCTCGGAGAGGACAGTCGGCAGCCAGAGCCCAAGATTCCAACCCGCGGGAATGCCGCAACCCCGTCTTAGACTTCGAATGGTGGTTGCAGATAATCTGGCGAAGGCAGGAAACGTGAAGGCCGGAGGGAACCATGCCCCCGAAGGCGCGCCACATCCGCTGCAACGTCTCTCATCCGCTAAGCTTGCCCGGGATCTTCCTCCAGGAGCTCTCCTCAGGAGCTCCGCTGCATGGTCTTCCGTGTTCTCCCCCCGACTCCTCCGAATCTGCATGGACGACGCGCCGACGGGGCGGACATGGCTCGGCAACTTGGGCGTCCTCGCCCGTGGCGCGGGCCTCGGCGACCCGCTGGCTGAGGATGTCGTCGGGTGTCTGCCTCTCCGCTGGCCGCTCACTGGCTGGGGCGGCGGCGCCGCCGCGCCTGCCCGAGGTCTTCATGCACTTGTCCTTCAACCCGTCCACGCGTTTCCGGAGGTCGTCGGCCTGGAAGCCTCCATCCAACGAGTTCTCGAGGGAGGCCAAATGAGAGGCGAGGTCGCCGCCCCCAGGACGGTTCCCTCCCCGCTCGGTGCTACGGCGCTCCCCGCGACCAGCCTTATCGGCCTGTAAGGAGTTGCCGTTCCGCCCCTATCCTTCCTTGGCGGCGTGGGCATTCGCAGCCTCGTCGTCTGCAGCGGTGCTGAGGAGGCGAACGGGATTCCCCCTAAACCCCCGTCCCACACCCGAGCCTGCCGCGGGAGCACCAGGGCGAGGCGTGCCTGACCGAGCTCGAAGCCAGCCGGCCCGGCGTCGCACGCGCACGGGGCGGCGGGCGAGAGCTGCGCTGCTGCTCTCAGGTTCCGCCGCCAAGCAGCTGCCAAGCTCCACGACACTCCCCCATGCGCAGGCCTTTCTTGGCCCAAGGGGTCTGATTGATGTCCTGGACGGTGACCCGGGCCCACTTCTTGTCCACGCGGATGGTCTCCAGCCTCGGCCTGTATAATGCTTTGCGTTGGGGAGGTCGGCGCGGCGCGTGCGCGCGCGGACGATGCGCAGAGGTGCAACCAGATCGGCTGCTCCTTCTTGGTGATGCCGTGGACATGGTTTTCGTCGTCGCCGTCCTCAGGACAAGACGCTTGACGCCGATGGTCTTGCCGTCTCGGTTGCTCCGAATGACGCCCTCGATGCGGTACACGCTGTGGCCTTGCGGCCTGCACGCGTGGTCGCAATCCTGCGTGAGGATGTAACCCTCATTGCGGTCGTCGTCCCAGGACTCGAGCCGCGACTCGCTGGGCTCAAGAAAGTCGATGTGATCGACCAAGCTGTGCTTGCCGGCGGCCAACGCGAGGGACGTTTGCAAACCCACAAAGGCGAGACGCCACGGGCCGCAGGCTTCAGACCTGCAGCCCTCCAGAGCGCGAGGCGCACGCTGCGAGCGCGTAGCGTGGCACCTGCAATGAATGCAGGCTGAGCCGCTGCGCTTGAGACGTGCCCTTGTCCATACGAATCGTCGGCAAGGTGTTTGTCCTGGGAACACGATCTAACACGATGCGAACAGGTACGCGAATAATGGAGGCTGGGCGCTGTTCAAAATTTGGCTCTCGCCAACGCGCCGCACCCATTCGTCTTAAACACTTGCAGCAAATACGCACGGGTGGAGACAAGGTGCGGTTCGAAATGACGTGCTCGCCTCAGCGCCACGCAAATTCGTTAAACAACTAATCGAATACGTTTCCAACAATTACTCTCTCGAAATGGTTCTCTCGCCAGAAACTTCTTTGGCTAAGACTGAATCAAATCAAAATCGTATGCAGTGCAACAACGGGTGCACGCGAACTTGCTTTCACAATGGGGTTCTCGCAGGAGACTTCTCCAAACATGTCCCCACAAGTCTCAGGTGCAAGAGATCTACCCGCACGGAGGGCCGCTCGTGTTCAAGATTGGGCTCTCGCCCAGGGCCCGCCAGACGTAACAGGTCGGGGATGGACAGACCCCCCTTGAGCACAACGTGGTTTCGCGAAAACGACCTCGGGCCCGAACCTGGCGGGCGCAAGCCTGGAAAATGACGGCCGCGGCGCCCTCTGGAGAACCGAAAACGGACAAGCCCCCGAACGGGCAGGAGGTCTGTCCACCCCCGAACCTCGCCATCGCTCGGACGTCCTTTCCCTGTGTTTTTTTTAAGTTTCGTGCGTGTTTTGTTCGGCAAATGGTCGAGGGTGCTCCTCGATGGTCCTCGCCGAGGAAAAAAAAACGCACACGTCCGAGCGAGGCCAGGGAACAGGCAGGAGCGCAGGCTTGCGCAACAGCTGCACGCCTGGGGGGCGGCTTCGTGGCTCGAGCCTCTGAGGCCCTGCCCGGACGGCCTCCTCTGCCCGGGCCGCTCGTGACCTCCGTGGCCCGGCCTGGGCCGCTCGTGCCCTTTGCGGTCGTGCCCTTTGTGGGCCCCGGAAACGACAGGGCCGTTTTTGTTCGCCGTTTCCAGAAACATGCCCCTTGAAAATGGAAGCGGCACAAAAAACGGCGACTGGAAACATCAGCAAAAACGGCTCCAGGATTGGAACAGGAGCCGGAACCGGTCAAGAAACGGCGACGGAACCAGTAACAAAACGGCGTCGGAACCGGCAAAAAAACGGCAAAACGGAACCGGTAAAAAAACTGCCCTGTCAACGGCCCTGTCGTTTCCAGGGCCCGCCTACCTCTGATCGGCGGCGAGCGAGGGGGGGAAGTGAGAAGGAGCAGGCCTTCTCGGAAGGCGGCCGGACTTCTCAGGAGCCCTCGCGCCTTCCGAGAAGCTGTTGCTGTCTTCGGGGAAGGCTTACACAACTTCTGGGAAGGCCGGGGGACTTCCGAGCCTTCTGAGAAGGCCTTCTGCTTCGCACTTCCTCCCATCGCTCGCCTTCGATCTGAGGTCAGGGCCTCTGACTGGACCGCTCGTTGACCTTTGTGTTGGGCAGAGACCGACCGTCCCGACATTCTTGTAGTCCTACAAACAAAGAAAATGTTCTTAGAACCCATGTTCTAAGCACAACAACAATGTTTTCAGATCATGAACCCGATGTGTCAAACCAGGACAGCCTCAATCAGAAAGGTTCTAAGAACATTTCGTGCAGACCACACAAAAGGCTCTTAGAACATTGTTTGGTAGGGCTATAGGCGAGCCAGGGCGCTTCGCCACTGCTTCACTGTGGTCCTGCCTCGTCGGATTCCCCTCCTGTTCGCTCCTGTGTCTCCTCCTCCTCGTCCTTCTCCTCCTCCGCGTCCTCCTCCTCCTCCGCCTCCTCCTCCTCTTCCTCCTTCTCCTCCTCCTCCTTCTCCTCCTCCTCCTCCTTCTCATCTCCTCCTCCTCGCTCTGCCTCGTCGGATTCCTTACGGCTCGCCGACAGGACGCAACACGTCGTTTTCCTTTTCGGCACCGGTGCCGCCCGACCAGCAGGCCCACGGGGCTCTCAGTCTGGCAGATGTGGCGCCTATCTCTTGCAGGGGCAAGGGGAACAACAATGGGACGCACAGAGACATACTAATACTATATGTCCTCCTTGGAGGCGCGCGTCCGACCCGAACATATAGTATACCCATCTTGTAGTAGAGCGTTTCCCGAGCGGTGTGGCCAGAAAGCGCCCGACACGACGCATATACTATGAGATGTCTCGGTGCGCGCGTCGCCCCTGGGGGGGCGACGCACCTATAGTATGAGTATGTTGGGGTGACGCCGAGCAAAAAGCAGGCATGGGACTTCGGGGGAGGAGGCCTGGGACGGGAGGGCGGAGAGTCGTAGCATCGCTGCTCCAGCTTGGGCCCCATAGCGCTGTCCTCCCTCCTTCCTCGTAGCTCTGTCCCCCCTCCTTCCTCACAGCTCTGTCCTCCCTCCTTCCTCGCAGAACTCTGTCCTCCCTCCTTCCTCCCACCTCCCGTTGAGGTGCGTGGGCGGGGAGCGGCGGCGCAGGAGCAGGAGGGGGGGGGGCGGAGCGGGGAAAGAGCAGGGCTGGTGGACCTAACCCGCTCCTCCCTGAGCCTCCGGGAAAGACTTCTCGTGGCCGCGCCCGGATGTCTCTCCAGCAGGCAACGACGCTCCAGGGCCAGGCCCTTAGTGGGCCCAAGAAACGACAGGGCCGTTTTTTTACTGGTTCCGTTGTGCCGTTTTGTTGCCGGTTCCGACGCCGTTTTTCTACTGGTTCCGTCGCCGTTTTTTGACCGGTTCCGGCTCCGGTTCCAATCCTGGAGCCGTTCTTTCGCTGTTTCCGATCGCCGTTTGTTTGCTGTTTCCATGTTCCAGGGGCATGTTTTGGGGAAACGGTGAAAAAAACGGCCCTGCCGTTTCCGGGGCCCACAAAGGCCAGGCCCAAAGCGCTATTTGCGGGAGACCGCGGTGCTGGGTCACTGTGGCAAAGCAATGCGTTACCCAAGTTCCACGTCCGTGCGCCTATAGATGGGTGCATCGCCGTGCATGTGTTCGAACAACTGATATTGACATACATGGCTAAACAAACGCCTATGTATATGGATGTGTAAATACACAAATATCCGTATACCTATGATACATCGTACCCAGTGTGGTCATTTGTGGCGCGCCGCTTCCTCCCCCCCAGTTCAAGGGCGTATGCCCAATAGGAAACTACACTTGCAAACAGATAGCGGCACCATGCGGGCAGCGCTTCCGCCCGCCTGCCGCTGGATTCCGACCGTCTCACACATGATTGACCGATCCCATGTGAGAGCAGCCGCTCGGACATCTGCAGTGTTGAAGGGCAGCGTGGGGGAGGGGAGCCAGCTCACGCAGGGAAACATCGACCTGGAATCGGCGACACATCGCCAATGGATCGGCAAAGACCTACCGATAGCGAATCGGCGCGCTCCTGGGCGGGGTGGGGACGTCGTGCCCCCATCGGCGAACAATGGGCGATTCGGAGTCGTCGCATCCCCACCCCTCCAGCTGAGCCATTTTCTCCCCGTAGCGTTGCCCCTGAATTTAGATGCTCCTTCTGGGGACCTTCCTGGAGCCACTCGTTCCACTCGTGCGTCGAAGCTGCGTCGAACCTGCGTCGAACCTGAGTCGAACCTGCGTCGAAGCTGCGTCGAAGCTGCGTCGAACCTGAGTCGAAGCTGCGTCGAACCTGAGTCGAACCTGAGGCGAACCCGAGTCGAACAGATCCATTAGGTGGGCCCCAGGAAGGTCCCCAGAACGAGCATCGAACTGAATTGTGCTTCAGGCAAACCGCCTTCAAACCATATATTCTGGGTTTTTGTCTTCCCCCCCACTTCCCATATGTTTTCCCATATCCTCTGGGGAATCGACGATTAATTGTGTCTGTGTGTTTTTTCCCTCCTGAGAATTGTGCGTCAGGCAAGGCGCCCTCAAGCCATCTTCCCCTCGCGCGTCGGCCCCGCGCGCCGCGAGCGGCCGGTGGAGACGCCAGCCTCGCAGTGCCAGCCAGGCTTGCGCCACGCGTGCACGGCCAGCCCCTGCAGTCTTCAGCACCGCGCGACCCTGATCGGGAGACTCTCCATGGGGGGGGATCCTATGGGATCCCCCCCCTGGGATCCTATCCCCCCATGGGATCCCCCCCCCATGAAGAGTCTCCCGACCTGAGGTGCTCCCCCTGGGGGCCGACGAGCCGTCGAAGTTCACAAGCAACAGCCTGTGGTGCCAACAGCGAAACACGAGCGCTGTGGTCCTCTCGCGGATGCAACAGCACGAGCAAGGGTGCCGCTCACCACGGTAACGGATGGTGCTCGATTACATGCTCCAGAGTCGAAGTACCCGTGCTCCAAGCGAAACGTTCCTTATGATGATGTGACCAACTTTAGCGATTCTTATATCCGATGGGCTGACCGCAATTCACCACGTGTATTGCAACCCTGGCAGGCAGCAGTACATGCGACATCGCCTCTGGGACACACTTTCCCGAACGCTCCAAAGTGTTACTTCGATAAATCTGGAGGTAGGGGTGTCGTACACCATTTGGGTGTAGTGGTCGTCAGTTGCCATGGCCCAGCTTCTTTAGGAGTTAGAATGCCGCTGGATGCGAATCCGAAAGCAAAAGCACAATGGGCTGAAACCCTAAAACACTTCGGTTGGCATGGGCAAGCTGAATCCTGGTGGAAGCGGGTCCTGGACTCCAGGGCTCCCTCCAGGACCAACGCTTCGTCCTTAGACATGTCGTTGACAGCCCCAAGGCTCAGGAAAGGCCCGTGGAGGTTAAACACGGCGACGCGTCTCGAGGACCCCTTTCATCTTGGAGGTGGCCGGGGAGTCTGGGCTGGATAAGCGGCAGGAGAGAGTACACTGTTTCAGCTATTTCCTCTCCTCGCCTTGGGAAGCTGCACTGTTATCCAATGCTTTCCTGTGCAGGCCCGCTTTTCTCATATATTAGTTTTTCTTTCCCGTGGTCGTCCTGGGGCGTGGGGCGGATGCCGCGGGAACGAAGAGCCGATGAACAGGAACAAGAAGGAACAATTGGAAAAACCTGTCCTGCCCATGAAGCGTGAGTCCCGCATGAATCGC